GAAATGTCTTCTCTGGTTCCAAAAGCTTTCTTAAGGGGTCCCCTTTACCTCCAATGATGTCTCCCATTATTCCCAAAGTAACTCACCTCCCCACTCCTACTGGACCAGTCTCCAAACTATTTCGTTGAAAACTCCACTTTCGATCCTATTTCTAATTCTTCTTCTCATATAGCATTCTCTAGCAGGCATCCCTTACCTGGCAAAAGCTGAACCCTTCTCCCTGCCTGGTAAAGTGTGGTCTGATGGCTACCACGAAAACTGGCCCTACCCTGATGCAGTCATATACCTTCCTATTACAATGAAAGCATTTCAAACAGGCACATTCAGATAGATATAATACTAACATTATCTTTCCATGTACCTCAAGGAGAAAATAGTTCATAGATTTATTTGTTTCACAACACCTGGCAAAGTATCAGTCAAAGCAAAATATAAGTGGTGAAGTATACTTTCTGAATTAAATTATGTCACCAGTGCTTTCTCTGGTTTATCTGATATGCAATAAATTCATTTGATGACATTTTAGGAGTTCAAATAACCAGAGGAGAGAACATTCTTACTTCTGTCAGTTAATTTACTAACTGAAAGTCAGTAGTACTGTATGAGAAATAAACTAGCTTGATAGAATTTGTGAATGTGAAGAAAATGCGAACCATGGAATAAATTACACATTTGGTTTATAAGCAGTCTGTGAATAAGGTTCTTGTACTTGCTAAGCAGTAAGAAAGCAGCATATTGTTGAAAGGGAATGTATTTAGGGTAAAGTATGAAAATAAAATAATAATTGAATGACTTTTTGTAAGGAAGTATATATATATATATATATATATATCAGTCAAGTAAATGAAGAGATTATACAAATATATGAGTGCGCGCGTGCGCGCACACACACACACACACACACTGAGTGTGAATAACAGAAATGGCAGTTAGGAAAATAACCTTTTCAGACTGCTAATGATTAGGCATTTTCAAATTCAGCACTTCTTTCTTATGTCAATTTATTTCTTATAAGTTTCCCTCCCACTGTTATTGATCATATTGTCCCGCTATTTAGTCTTTTCTGCCTAATTTTCTTCCCTCACTCCCCTCTCTCTAACGAAACTCCACATACTTTCTCACATTCACATTCACATTCACAACACACACACACACACACACCTCTCATCTGATAGTGATGCCATTGATTCACTAGACTAGTGAGTGGTTTTCAAATTTAAGCTCATGGACCCCTAAAAGAATTTTGAAAAATACATATATATAGATTCTGTGCCAGTTATCAATGTATTGATTCTCCCTCTAAATCCATCTCCCCTGCCTGCTCTGCTAAAATAGAGCTGGGACCTTTAAATATTTTTTCTTTGTCAGCTAACATGATATTAAACTTTGTCAGTACAAGAGACAGGAGAAAGAGTGCAAGAGAAAAAGGTTTGCCTTCCCTGGTTTCAGTATGCTTGCTCAAGAGGCTCCAGCACCGCTCGTGGCTTTCCTAGCATCTGGCTCTTGCAACACATGGAGCTTCTCTACTTCCAGGCCCTGGCAAAGCGGGCGACTTCTCCAGTGCCAAGCTGCTGCAGTATGAATGGCTGCTCCCGCAGCCAGCTCCTGCAGTGCACACCGCTTCCTCAGCCCCTGGCTCCTCCTGCAGGCAGCCTCTCCACCATCCAGCCTTCCGGTGGTAGGCTCCTGCGGCACAAGCGGCTTCTCTCATGCACTGGAATGGCAGCCCCGGGTGGCCAGCAGCTTCCCTGGCACTCCCCTCAGGTAGTGCCTCCAATGCAACCCCTCCCTGTAAACAGCTTCCCCAACACCCCAGAGGGTGGATTGCCAGCAAATTCCAGAAGGCGAATTTCTGGAAAGTTGCATTATCATGACCCCACAGTGACTTCTCTGCTATTTAGTAGGCTACAAGCCATGGCCTCCTCTCCAACAAGGCCTAGATCTCAGCCCCAGGGAGGGGAAAGTGGGAGCGTGGGGTTGCAGGGAAAACTTTCCCTTGGGCTGTATCTCAGTCCTAGAGGTCATGATTACTTCTTAGTTTTGCTATTTCTGTAGTCTTTAAAATTTCTGTTCACTTCTTGCTAGACGACCCCTCATTACTGCAATCCTCTTTTATAGGTAATAATTCTTTCTATTAAGTCTTCCTGTTCAAGTGACTGTGTGGTTTCTGTATCCAGATTGGGTGCTGACTGATAGATACTTCTTCACATATTTTAAAGGAATAGCTAAAATTTCCTATCAAAAATTTAAATAATTGAAAAAGGTGTTCTATATATAGATTACATGCTTAACATATTTTTTTTCAAAATTTTAGGGCTATATATTTAGATTATTTAATGAACAGAGAAGTCCACCATACAACCTAATTTACAAACACAGTCCTATCTGTCCAAAAAAGATTTTCATTTTTTCAATCTGATTAAATGTGTAAGTATCTTGATACACGTTCTCATGATAATCATCTCACTTAAGTAAACTGGAAACACAGTAGAAAATAGAAACACAGACAACATACTGTATGGAGATAAATAAGCAGGCAGCAGGCAGGCAGACTGAGCCTTGCCAAGGTGAAATAACTATTTCAATATTTTTTAACCAGTTCGAAATTTTTCAGTAGTTTTTTTGGCCATGCTTTCATGGGTCTCTCCTTCAGAAAGAACGCTGTCATTTTGCTTGATGCCTTAGAGGTTTTACCCTGGGACAATAAGTCATAGTAAGATTTGGGATGAGCGAAAGCTCTGACTTCCTGTGTGAAATTGGAGAAGGGTGATTATGACAGATAGGAAGGGAAAAGTGGCCAATCACAGACTCTCTCAAATGCATGAGTTTCAGGAAAGTGTGCATACTTGTATAGACATTGAGGACCAGAAAACTGATTCCCTCAAAACCATGCCCTGTGACCCCTAGAAAGTTTTGTGGACACTCAGGGTACCAGTTCTCCAGTATGTAGAGAGTAGCACCATATTGATGAAGTACCATTCTCTACAGTGGAGGCTACAGCAGGGATACTTTTTCCCCCTTAAATGGACAGGAAACAAAGTATGGAGAAGAAGCAGACAACTAAAAGAAAAAGTAGAATAATCGTATGAAACCATATTCCCTAAGGGCCAGCCGACCAGCACGTTGGTTAAGAACTGGCTTGGGACGCCAGAGGGCCCCGGTTCAGATCCCACGTATGAGGACCAGTGACACTGCCCTCTACAGCTAAGATGCTGAACAACAGCTCAACCTGGAGCTGGGCTGCCATGAGTCGCTGGCGACAGCATAGGCTGCAGCCCCTGCTGCAGTGGGTTGCCATGGGCTACCATGTGTAGCCAGCAGCCAGCATG